TTTACAAATTTGTTTGACTTTTTTATTTCTTTAAAAGTGTAAGACATCTTATATTTGAAACATATTTGAAGATTTCCTGGATCTATGGCTGATGACTAAGATGTCATGTTGCTTCTCATTTGTGTTGCATTATTAAATTGCATGTTTGGTATAATTTTGAGTAGGATTTGTTAATTTTTATGGATATTTTATTTGTGAGATTTTCTTAAAATCGGAATTAGAACATTGTTAAATGTCTTAGAAAGTAGAAGGGGAAAATCATGATTATTTAAGGAGATTTAACATTTTTGAGAAGGTCTTGCAAACTAGCAAACCTGAGCATTTGATGGAGCCTGGTAAGAGACAGCAAGACCGAGATTCCAAGCCATCTCAATGAGCAAAACAGGCAAATTATAAAACTGCGTTTTGACAAAAACAGAGTTCATTTAGGTTTTAAGTTAATTATGTTTGTATTATATGTAACTGCAATTGGTAAGAGTTGATATGAAGAGAAATAAGGAAAATGTAATAACTATGCTATAAACTCAATATTGGCAAATAGTGTGCTGAAGCTATAAAAAAGGATGTGACTTCTGTTAAGAAAATATTTCCATCGAGATACATATACCAAGAGTGAGGCTGACCACAGTAGCATCCCTGCAATGCTGTAACAGAATGTCAGTGTGGTTCTACAGCACGATTTTCCGCGCTTGCTGTTCAAAAGGCCATTATTCGTCACACGACAAGTCGGTTCTGAGAGAAAGGCACCTGGAACTCAGGTTCACGAGAAAGGCATGACGGAATGAAATTAAATTTAAAATGTCTTATAAAAGAGAAGACTATTCTTCAAATATGAAGACCACGGAGAACTCCCTGGCTCCTAGGTCTCCGAGTTCGCCGACGTCCTCGGGCTTTTCAAGCTCTCAACGGTGGGAGGTGGCGGCGGTTGGTCGGTGCTACTGAGTCCGCTCCAAACCATAGCCCCGGGTATAACAGGGAAACACTGCCAGGTGGTGCCCTGCTTTCACATTTGTCTTATGTAGATTTTAACAATTAATATTCTTAGGTATAGAGTAATCATTTCATGGTAAAAAGAGGAAATCGACTCCCAGGCATTACATTTGATTGAGGGAGAGAGTCAAAGTCCAATGTGAGGACAAGCCCGTGTTTATTGACTTTCTATTTTCCTATCTTGTGGTGGGCAGTGAAAAGCAGATGCCACAAAACAATATTTCCATAACAATGACCGGCTTTCATTTTAATTTGGAATTAGCCCATTCAAAATAGTCTATAAGCTCGCTTAGGAACTGATGTTTCATGTGCTGAAAACATTTGGATACTGGACGTCACCAATAGAAAACTGAGAAGAAACCAATACGACATAGGTGGAAAGGATCAAGTGGGAATCAGGAATCACATCTTTTTTTGTTGTTTTAAGGTCAAGTTATACCTTTGGCTGAGCACTAAAATCATCCTTGAACTCATGTTTTTCATACATCGAAGGAAGAGAGCTATACAACTGCTTGATTTCTAAAGGTTCTTTGTATCTGAGAGTTACATGATTTTTAAGGACATCTACAGAAATTTATATGTGTGATTATACACAAAGCATATAATCTCACCTTGCATGTTTGAACAAAATATATCAAATGAACAATCGAGTCTTGTATGTTAATTTGAAGTTTAGTTACAGGTAAAGATAATATGTATCTTTAAAATTATTTTCCTATTAGCAAATAAAATTCAGATGAAAATTCTTACTAAAATAAAATAATGTATTAGTGTTAAAGTTTGGATTAAGTAAAATTTGAATGTTTAGTCATCAGATAAATTATCTACTTCAAAGAAATAATATTATACAATGTTAAAATTCCCTTAGTACCCCTTGCCCCAGAAATTAATTTTAGTGATGACTCAATTTGGAAGGAAGAAGTTATTTTGGGACACCCTCAGCATATGGGAACATGGTGTTTGATATCTATATTGAGCTCAGTAACATGACCTAATCCTACAAAAATGGAATGATCTTTGTGAACTAATACCCAGAATCATTGTGAAGATGGGAATGAACTATATCTTTCTGAAATTTCTTTGAAATAGGGTTCCAAATAATAATAAGTGACATGTTGGAGAGCTTAGCTTTTCCATTTTTTCCCTTTAGATGAGTGTACTGTACCTTCCTATTTAGAACAGAGATGATCCACAGCTCCTGTAGTGACCTCTAAAGGAAATACTACTGTTTTATCCACAGTTTCATGATGTTTTACTCCCCTGACTTCCTAGCACACATCATGAAGGGTCAGCTACCTTAAAACTAATAGAACAGAAGTCCATTCTGAATAGACATCATCTCACTGATATAGCCTAAAAAAGTCTTTTTGGGGTCTAAATTTATAATAAATCTATGATTCACTCCAAATATTGAGCGGTTGTAATGAAATTTTGATGTGAATCTTTATTCATCACATGGTTGAACAATTTGGAAGAACTCTTGATATTCAATTAGTATCATGTATCTAGATAATTAATTTAAATACAAATGATCTAAATGAACTTTGCCTCATCATAGAACTAAGACTGTTACAGCATTATGGAGAGAAAAATCCTTGGCACTTAAAAATGAAGCATCTTTTCTCAGTCTCGGATTTTCTCCAAGGCCTCCCCCACAAGTGTCTCCACCCTGGAGAAAACGGTGCAACACAAAACACTCCTTCACGCAGAGTACTGGGGCTCCCATTGGCTTGGGGAGTCCCTTTCTCCCAAACCTCCAGTGACTCTGAAATTCTACATTCAGCAAAAAAGGAAGATTGATTTGTAGAGAAGTGGGATATTCTGAAAATCTAAGCTATTTAATCATCTGTGCCCAGAACAATGCTACCATTTGAAATGTTCAGTGGATTTTTTTTAACAAAACATATCAAGAACAATTTTATAATCATACTGACAACTTTTCTTTTAAATATCTGCACATTCTGGGGTGCTTAGCACATAACTAAAAGCAGCCAACCAGGGTGTTGTGCACAGCTAGCTCTTATATCTGGTTTTGTCTTTCTCCCAAAGAAATATTTAGCTTCTTAAAGTGGATGAGGTAACATCTTGCTGTGAAGTTATCTATTTTCAAATGTTTTAATTTTAAGTCTGGTCATCTCTATTAAATTAGATGACTATCTCCCATCTTGTATTTCATGCTTGATTTATTAATGCAACTCTATGTAGGAGATATGATAAAATTGTTCTGCCTTATATCATCGAATTTCAACTTCTGTGGTCATGGGACTCCTGGTGGCCTAGGGTTACACATTACATTGATAACCACAAGGTCAGCAGATTTAAACTGCCGCTGGCTCCATGGGAGAAAGATGAGGCTTTCTACTTCCGTAAACACTTGTCAATCTCAGAAAACCCCACAGGGGCAGTTCTACTCTGTCCTATAGGGTCACTATAAGTCATGTGCATATAGGGTTGTAATGAAAGAGAGTTTGATTTGGAGTGAGTGGTTATAGACCGGATAGTCATTCGAAGCTGAACTCTGCAGGCTTACTCAAAAGAAGAACACCACCAGGCAGGCCACCATCGTTCCTACTCTCATTTCCCCCATAGCATATAAGGCGAGCAGCTATGGCCAGCAATGGCAGAAGCTACGTAAATTTACATATGCCCAGGATAAAATACACGTATTATGAAATAAAATTCCACTTAGATATAGCTGTATTTGTTCACTTGGGTTTATGACAACATAGCAAACCACGCCGAACCGTTTGAAGAGGGGAGACAAAGACACAGGTAACGATGAGCAAATCCAATGTTTGAATTCGGAGTTAAGGCATATATTTTATTGATACTCTACTATTAATTAGGTGTTGTTTTAGGCACTTGGCATATGGCAGTTAACAAAAGCAAAGAGTCCTGTCCTTGTGGAAGATGGGAAAGTCTAGAAATAAATTGGAACTTGGAGGCAAGTTAAAGAGAACAACAAGAGAAGATAGAATGGGGAAATGCGAACTCAGCGTTTTAAAGTTTGATGCTGATTCTAGAGAAATTGGTCAGGGTCCTCTAATTGAATCTAGGTTGTAATATAATTTGAAAAAAGCTCTCTGAGATGTCAAGGGACCAAACTCCTATCAATTTTACGAATGTAAAATCATACTAAAGTCATAATACATTTGTTCACGCAAAATCAGACTAGTTTTAGGAAAACAAGGCAGTAGAATGCCATCCTGGTCTATGAAATGTCTACTAGTCCTCCTAGATTTGATCTTTTTCCCTGGAAAATCTAAAATCTTCCTCACCTGTGCTACTTTGAAAGAAGGAGGGGAAACATGAGGAGCTGATGCCAGGGGCTTAAGTGGAGAGCAAATGTTTTGAGAATGATGAGGGCAATGAATGTACAAATGTGCTTTACACAATTGATGTATGTATGGATTCTGATATGACTTGTATGAGCCTCTAATAAAATGATTTTTTTTAAAAGATCATAAAAAAAAAAGAAAGAGCCCTGGTGGGGTAGTGGTCACGTGGTGGGCTGTGAACCACAAGGTCAGAGATTCAAAACCACCAGCGACTCTTTGGGAAAAGGATGGACTTTTTTACTGCCACAAAGAACTGCAGGCTCAGAAATGTACGGTGGCAGCTCTGCCCTGTTGCGTAGTATCGCATTGAGTAGACAGTGACTCGATAGCAATGCTTCTTTGGCATTTTGTTCAAAATTACTAGCAGGACTTCAAAGAGATTAGAACCTAGAGGGGCTGGTGTCTGAAATTCCCAGTGATATATCAATTTATTTTACTTTCTATTAGGGACACAGACACAGTTATTAGGAGACTAAATATTGATTCATTTGCAAACAAGCTTGGAGAAAAAATTTTGAACCACGTGGACATTTCCTTTTTCCAGGTAGTTCAATGTCATCTTTACTCTGTAAATGATTGGCTAAGTCCGAGGGTACAATCTAGAGAACTGATTTCATACCAATTCCCAAGTTGTGAGTTCCCCTCAACAACGTTTAAGAGATCTACTAGGGATTTTAACTTAATATCTTATGACCTAGGTTGTATTACTAAACTTGAGCAACTTTAGGTAAGTCCCTGTTTTGTTTATTTCTTCTTCCTCCTACCCGTAAAATCAAAAATTTCAAATTATGAAAATAATGCCTGACTTTGCACCTTAATTGACCCTATCCTTTGAATGGCCAGGATTAGTGAAAATTTAAACATGTGTTTTTGTATTCCACCTCTACCCTACATATTATAATGACTTTAATCCAATTCTCTCAGGAGGCACATTCACTTTTAATTTCTTTTCAAAGGACAGTCAACTCTGTACTCAAAATCATTTAGATTTTCCCCCCAGGAATTTTCCAGTGCCATTGTCTCACTGCATGTATCCTACTGTTTAAGACATGAAAATAGAAATTTCATGGGGAAAATATATATATATACATATATGATAGCGAACTATCTATACATGATAGACAATATAAATGGTAATGCATATACACATATTCTTGATAGCATAACACAATTATAAATTTGTAATCTGTATTCTTGATGATGACCTACAATGTTACATAGAGAGAGGAGAGAGAGGGCTAAGGGGAGGGACAGGGGGTGGGAAAAGTACAGGGACAAGGAGGGTGAGAAAGTTGATGGGATTTGGGACAACATGAGCTGGAATGGACATAAATCACTCACTTACACTTTAAGCATAATTTTGAGTTTCGATAGATCTATGTACCCATAAAAGTTACTGCCAACATGATCAAGCTACTGAGCATTTTATTTACCCTTGAATGTTCCACATGTCATGACTTCCTTCTCTCGCAGGCCAAGCTAACCAGTGATCCATTAGTATACTTTGGTTTAATCTTTGCAGAATTCTAAATAAATGAATTGGTATGTACTATTTTACATCCTGATTTTTCCACGGAGGATATTTATTTTTAATTAACTTATGTTGTTACACATATCAACAGTTTATTCTTTCTTATTGCTGATAAAATTCCTTTATAAATATATGTAGTTTTTTTGGTTCACTTATATATTAATGGGAGTTTGGGGCATTAACATTTTGTTACTATTACAAATAAACTGTTATTGGTATTCATGCAAATAGATTTTCAAGGACAAACATTTTTATTCCTTTAGGGAAAATATCTAGGGTTATGATGAGTGTGTGTTCAATGTTTTAAGAAATTTCCTAATTATTTTCCCAGCTGACTATATAATTTTTATCCTCACCAATAATGTAATAAGATTCAAGTGGTTTTACATCTGTGTCCACACTTTGTGCTGTGAGAATTTTAAATTTTTCATCACTCCAGTGAATGTATAATTCCATCTCATTATGGTTTTATTGAACACCTATCAGATGAGTAGAAATATTTAGCATATGGTATACTTTGGAGATTCCTTTCCCATTTCATCTTTTAATTTTTCCTTCTATATCTAGAGATCCATCCTTTGTCTGACATGTGTTGAAAATATTTTCTCCTAGTCATTGGCTTCCCCTTTCATTTCCTAAACAAGTATTTTGAGGAGGAAACATTTTAAAATTAGAACATAATCACTTTTTATATTTATTGTTTCACTTTTTTGTCACAAGTTTTGTTTACTCTGAGGTTGAAAAGAACTTTTTGATTACTCGTAGGTTATAAAGAGTAATTTTGATTACTCTTAGCTTGAAAATACCTTTCATCTATATTTTCCTCTATAAAAATTAGTTTTAGTTTTTACTTATAAGTTTTGTGTTATATATAATTTACTATATATGCATATTAATTTCAAATTAACTTTGAGATAGATAATAAGAATATGGTTGATGCTCTTTTTCAGATAAACATCCACTTGCTCCAGTGTCATTTGTTAAATACATTTAGGGTTTTGTGTCCACAATAGCATATAAAATTGTTCATGTCAGGAAACATGGTGGGGATTTTTAGATAGGATTGCTTTACATTTCTATGTCAACAGTGTCATCTAATAATTTTGGGAGCAATGAGTATCCTCCATTTAAAAATGAGGAAACCAAGGTGCTAAAAGACTTACTGAAGACAATTTTGGTCTCCAATGCCATTAAGTTCATTCCAACTCATCGTGACCCCATAAGGCAGTGTAGAACTGTCCTTGTGAGTTTCTGAGACTGTAAATCTTTATGGGAAAAAGAGTCATGGGGACTTTCTCCTGGAGCCACTTGGTGGTTTTGAACTATTGCCCTTGTAGTTAGAAGCCCACTACTTAACTTGCTATGCCATCTGGGATCTGAAATACCATTGCCCCTCCAAACCTTGAGCCCAGAACCTCTCATACCCCAGGGAAGAATCACACTTCCAGACCAATGAACTCTGGTGGAAGCATGGTTATGCCATTGGGCTACTAACGTCACTGCCAGCAGTTTTTTATTTCTTTGCAAAATGTAATGAATACCTATATAGCTTTATATCGAATGGTTCTGGAAATAAAGGCTACTATGGCTTCATGGCTTTGTTTTATAAGTTAATAGAAGGGAATATATAAGTATTCATTCTGGTGTGAATGAAGGTGACCTACAGACTACAAAGCTGGGCACCATTTTCACTGGGTTGCAAAGCCAGGAGATACACTTTTCCAAACCATGTTCAAAGGCCATGCTGGATTTCCCCCATATATTGGATCTGTTGGCTACTTTGGATCCAGACCTAAATCAGGATCTAATATAAATATAGAGATGGTTTTATGCTCCGCTGTTATCCTAGAAAGTGGACAGCCAGGGCATTTTAAGATTTGACAGGCACATTCTTCTTCTTTTCATGGAGAGATGTCTGTGAAGGTTTCACACATGGGAGAGGGAGAGTCACAGGTTTAGTATATGTACAGATTCACGTATCGGGTGCTAACACGCTCATCTCTCTCTTGCAGGAGCAGGAGAATCTGGAAAGAGCACTATTGTTAAACAAATGAAGTAGGTACACGACTTTTTGAAATGTTTAATATTTAAATCTGTCCATGTATTTGACCATACTTTTTGACCAATCATAGGCAATTGATTGAAAATTTTTTCTAAACTGTAGATAACAACAAAATGGTCACATTTTTTTTTTACAAACATCCCCCTGTCATTTAGCCTCAAAAATAACAAAGTAATAATATTATAATAGTTTACTTTCTGATTCCTTTAAAGTTTTTTTATTCTCAGTAAACACTAAAAGTAGTTATGTTTTAAATATATTGTAATATACTGTGTTTTACATATATTATTTAAATATTTTAACTTACTGAAATATGTTATATTTTTCAAAAAGATAGACATAACTCAAAGTATTTATATTTCAAATATATCTGGATGTGATCTACATCTTTCATATTGTGGTAAATAAGCAATAAAACATTTAAAATATGTCAGCCAATGATCATTCTGAAAATTAATGAGAAAACTATATTTTTAATGTTATTGGAATTTTCATCATTGAAGACCATAAAGTCAAAAATATTGATTGGTAAGCATAGATAGACGAGTGAAAGACGTGTCTTGGTCATGGTCAGAGCATTTTTAAGAGCACAGGTTGCTGTGAGATATGAATGGTGATCATTTTAAAGCCAATTTCAAATTCTGTACCTAAGGAACTTGTTTTTTGGGACATATTATATGAGGAAATGTTCCCAGTCAATGATGAAATGATCTGATTGCAAACTACATTGTTGTTTTCACTTTTCAGTAATAGTCATGCACCATTCAACATAAACAATATGTAAGCCTAATTTTTAAAATCTCCTATCTTCATCAAACCCCTCAAGTTATTATTCACTCAGTTATATCTATGTACAAAATGCCGTCCTCTCCTCTTGTGTCTAAAGAACAGGGCTCCTTTGTTTTGTTCACCGATCATTCTGTTTTTGAGTTTGTAAGTCCATCCTTGCACCCACTCCGGTTTCTTTCACCCATTACATTACACTTTCCTTTATATTTTAATAATGTTTGATTCTATCAAACTTTTAACCTCGCCATTACCTCTTAGGGTGAATGCATTGAAAACTGAAATAATTATTTGAATGCATAAATATTGTAAATTTAAATACAGTAAATAAAAATAAGCACAAATAAAATTAAACAAAAATGGAAAACTTCAAAAGTTTACAGGTATATGACTAATAGATAAATAACTGCTATGTACATATATAGATTCATAGAAAAGTATAGAAATTGTTTAAGAAAGTGAGAATATGAAAAACATTTATGTTGACTAGAAAAATGATAAATCTGCACACACTTTTTATCTTAATAATGACAGAATAAATAGCTTAAGCAGATGAATATGTTCAAAGGAATTTACTTTCAACAGCAGGATTTAAAGTGTTCTTTACTTTCTCCTTCGTTCTCCGATTCTTGGCATCTTCATGTGGGGTCTCTAGTGTTTGCTCTGAGTACTCTTCTCCCCTAATTCAACATATTGATAACATGAAAAGTGTCAAAGTTCAATGACTTTTTTTATATCATCCCCAGGCTGAGGCCTCTGAGATCTTTCTTTCAAACCTGAACATTTTGTCTCAAGGGGTGGATATATCTACCTCTGTAGTATATAACCAGGAGCCTTCTTAGCGTGGGGGGTTTCACATTGGACTACTAATCACAAGGTCAACAGTTCAAAACCACCAGCCATTCCTCAGTAGGGAGAAGAGGCTTTCAATCCCTATGAAGATTTATAGTTTTAAAAATTCACATGAGCACTTCTACTCTGTGCTATAGGGTCACTGCGAGTCAAAACCTACCTGGTGGCAGTGAGTTGTGAGTTAGGGGTATAATTAAACGAAACCCAAGTCAAATGAAACCCAGAGACACAGAAGCCATTCCAAATCATAGTAACCCTTGGGACAGAGCAGAACCTCTCTTTCAAGTTTCCAAGACTGTAAATTTCCTTGGGAATAGAGAAACTCATCCTTCCTATGGAGTAGCTGACGAATTTGAACCCACAACCACGTATTACCAGCTCAACCAACTATAGTATATTAACCAACTATAGTATATTCAAATAAACAAACAAATCTACTGCCATTGAGTCAATTTTGACATAAGGTTTCAGAGACAGGGATTCTATGGCTGTAACTCTTTATGGAGGCAGGTAACCTCCTCTTTCTCACATGGGGGGATTGGAGTTTAACTGCTGATCTTGGAGTTAGCCGTCCAACTCATACTCGACAGCACCACCCAGGATCTTTAGATAGCTCCAACCCAGAACAAGCAACATTTATTTATTTATTTTTTTTTCGTGTCTTAATCTTTTTTTTTTTTTTTAAACATTTTATTAGGGGCTCATACAACTGTTATCCCAATCCATACACACATCAATTGTGTAAAGCGTATTTGTACATCATTTCTCAAAACATTTTCTCTCCATTTAAACCCCCGACATTAGGTCCTCATTTTTCCCCTCCCTCCCCGCTCCCCCCTCCCACATGAACCCTTGATAGTTTATAAATTGGTATTTTGTCATATCTTGCCCTGTCCAACGTCTCCCTTCATCCACTTTTTGGTTGTCTGTCCCCCAGGGAGGAGGTCACACACAGTTCCATGTGATCGGTTCCTTCTTTCCTACCCATTCTCCCTTTACCCTCCCTGTTTGAACAAGCAACATTTAAAATATATAGTTTAGTTGATTGCTTTAATTATGTATGTAAATGCTTCAGATAGTAAAACAAACGTGATCCAAAGAATAAGCACCAAAAACAACAACAAAAACAAACTCTTTACCATTGAGTTGATGCCGACTCATGGTGCCACTGTAGGACAGGGTAGCACTGTCTCTATGCGTTATAGAGAGTGGAACTCTCGACCAGAGCAGGAGCACCCAGCCATTTGAAACTGCTGACCTGTAGCGAGCAGCCCAACCTGAAACCAAAAGGTTATTAGGAGGCCGCAGAGTAGTAGAGAGAACAACAAATAATCATATCCTCGCCACTTTTACTTTCTAAACCTCAGAGTCCTTGTCTTTGAAAGTTTTACTAGTCATGCTGTACCCCCACCCCTGTGGCTCTGTGTTTATAGACACAATGCAAATCCCAGTAAGGTGACATGCAAAAAGATGGGAGGCCCAAATACTTCAAAAACAGTAAGAAAATCACGCTTTGAACAGTATACATTATGCAACCAAGAAGCAATAAAGTGTAATTAGCCAACACAAAAGTTCTAGCTTTTAATAGGTGAACCTATTTTAAGCTCTTACTTCAGAACTATTAGTCAAACCTTCAATAAGTGGAAGGAAGAGGAGAGTTCAGCCAAATAGTGTGTCTGGTCATTTAAACTTTGAGAGCTCACTGGCACGTACACCGATAGAAGTGACAAGGGATTTAAGAGCAGGCAATTGCCTAAACTGATGCTTTTGTTAATGCCATAAATAGAAAGCAGGCCCTCCTGTTTTCCAGCATATCTTAAGTGATAGGAAAGGCAAGGACATGTCCTGTTAAAGTCTTCATTTCCTCTAGATTCTTGTTGTAAACACTACACAAAGTTTCAAAACAATGTATAGATCTTTGTCCCGACAATCTAAAAAATAGTCTTTGGAAAAATAGTAAGTTTTCTACTTCAAATGTCCCTGAGTTTTCCTTTTAAAATGTACTTTATCTAGTAACAAAAAAAAGTTTAGTCTTTTTTGTATTTGTTATGGAGGTTCAGAGAGAAAACTTTGTCTCATAAGACAAAGATCATATAAATCCAAAGACATAAAGTAACTCAGATTTAATACATATATATAAGTACAGATAAATAAGTCAGCTAATATATATTGTGCTGTTATACAATAAATTCCTGTTGATGTACTTTTGTGTTACAAACACTCTTTCAATTCTCAAAAGCCTTCCATGTTTAAATTACAGGATCATCCATAAGAATGGCTACAGTGAACAAGAATGCATGGAGTTTAAAGCAGTAGTTTACAGCAATACTGTGCAATCCATCCTCTCTATTGTGAAAGCCATGGCTACCCTTGAGATTGATTATGCAAATCCCAGAAGCGCAGTAAGTATGCAACTAATGGCAATTAGATGCCCTACATCGGAGTTAGAGCCCTAAAACTATTAATTCTTCAAGGGGATGCTTTTTCTATTTTCCTTTAAATGAAGTTTCTTTCTGAATGTGTGGATTAATCTGAATCAATCAACATGAATTGCTTACCTGGCAGTCAACACTAATATCAAAATAACATGCTTATATTTGCTAAACAAAACTGCCCAGTGGATAAGATCTAAGTGACTATATCTCTCCCCTTATTGTCTAACTTGAATTATTCATTATTTCATGAATAGTTTTTCATTTTTAATAATATGAAATGCTCATCTATGTTCAAATGATAACTGCAAATGTGAAATAGCAACAGTGAAATCTTATTTTTCATGTGTTTGCTTTAAATATTTCAAGTTTGTCTGATTAAATAAGATGGCTTCTGCTAAACATGCCCAAGCTGTCATAAGCTTATGACCAAATATATATTTTTAAAATTTCCTCTGCTTTATATTTCTGCAATTATTTTATTTTCCAAAAAGTCACTTATTTTGAGAACATCGCAGGTGCCAACAGATAGCACTCCATTCGTTTGCAAAGAAAACCTAGTATTTTAGCACAGTGATTATCCCTGGGGCTGCAAGCGCCCAAATGCACAGTTGGAAACACCCAGCTGCTCCTGCTTTGGACTCCCTTCAACAGCGACAGTCTCAGAGACTAGCAGAGGCGGGGACTGTCCGAGAAAGTCCACAGAGCCGCTCTGAGTTTTGCTTCGTTTTTAAACAAAGAACAGTTGACACCCCTTGCCCCTCATATAGACACCATGAAGTCTAATTGTGCACCAGAAGAGCCCTCGTGGTGCAGTGAGCAACTACGTGGCTACTATGGAAAGGTCACCTGATCCATCTGTTCCCTGGAACAGGCTCAATGTTTTAAGCATCGTCCCTTCTTGGTTCTTGTCCCACAGAAAAGATTTCAGGGGAGGGATGAAATTCAGACAAGAGTCAGAGAAAAGGTTTGAACAGAAAAGAGACAGTTTATCGAAGGTGGTGCTTTGAAAAAGAAGTCCACGGGGCCCTTAGATAATCTGAGAGGCCTGGCAAAATGTAAAGAAAGGACATTAGAGTGTGGAAAGGTGGACCTCCTACCATTGGCAGCCTTTCTGGCAGGTCTACTGCTATTGGCTAGTTCTTTGCAGGGCACCTCCAGGTATGTGCATCCCAGCGCCCTGGCACCCGGAACTTCACGCTGTGCTCTCATCTGGGAACCTCTAGTCAGTAATCGTGTGGGTAATGGGGCCATCCTGGTTTTCTTCACCCTGCACTTGCTGTCTCCTCTCTGCTCTCCTTCATTAGTAAGGAGCTGGGTCTGATTCTGCTCTTGACCTTCTTTTCGGCTGGAGAGGTAGATGTGTAAAGTTCTATCCACCTCGCTTTTGTGCTTCATTTCTTGCCATCACCACGTCTCCTCCCCCAGCCAACCCCTGACCAGTTAACAAAGCCTACCAACTGCTGCAAGGGAATATATATATAGCACTTTTCTTCTTACAGGTAAGAGCCTGAGAAAGCCCCAGTGGCAGTTTTACTTTGTGCTACAAGTCAGAATTAACATGCAGCAAAGGGAATTTATGCACAATCCACCAGAAGAACCCGACTCTTTCCATAGGTTCTCTCCAGGGACACTCGGCTGTCTACAAACCATGCCCATGAATGTGTCCCCAGTATAATTTTCAGACACCCTGTACATGAACGATGAAAACAGAATAACACAGTAGGTATAGAAAAATACTCACATGATACTTTCCCTCCAGAATTTAGGGTTAAAATGTAAATGATTACTGGAAGCTATTGGAGATCATAGAAAAATACTTTTTTCCCATACAAATAACTAAGGAAAAATATAAATCCTTTTTTGCACTAGCACTTCTCATTCTCATAAAAATGCCAAGCATGTCCTTAGGAGAAATCATTTGGGAGGCAGAGAGCAGAGGTATGCTGGGCTGTCCTGCAGTTTCTTTCCAACCCCTATCTCCTAATGCACCATGTGGACTCATGAATCTCTTATGTCTCTTGTAACAGTTTTCTTCTTACCTGTGAAAGAGGGCATCTACAAAGCAAAGCAAAACTAATTCACTGCAATCAGTTCCAAGTCTTAGCAACCCTACATCACTCGTGTGGGTTTCAAGGTTGTAAATCATTACAGGCCACTCACCTTTCAGTTAGCAGCCCTACCTATGAACCACTACATCACCAGACCTCCTTCCAAAAGAGGATTTCCAAGTTCCTATCCTTCTTTAAAGTTCACGCCTTAGTGATCCCATCCTTATTTGCTGGTATTTCAGTTATTTCTCTGACCTTAAGCTTTATCTAAGAACCAAGAATATTAAATGGCCCCTTAATTAAAATACTTGATTCATGTCACTTATTTAATGATGAGAAAAATTAGGCCCAGAAAAGGTTAGCCATTAGGCTTAATCAGCAAGAGTTTAAGGAAAATTCCAATGCTAGTGTGCAAAAGTCCTGGATCTAGAAGATCAAGAAGGTAGGACAAGTTCAGCATATCAGAAGCTGGATGATATGAATAAAAAATTCAAGCCTGGAGTTGTAATATTGAAGGGATCTATGCATTAAATATTGAACTATGCAAAACGCATCTTCAAAAGAAGATGGAAGGAAAACACAGAGTCTTCTTACCAAAAAGCACTGCTCAACCATTTCAAGAGCTTATATATGAACAAGAATCAATGGTATTGAAAGAAGGTCAAGCTGCACTAAAGCCATTAACAAAACACAAGGTTCTAGGAATGGATGAAATACTAAGTGAAATGTTCCACCCAGCCGGTACAGCACCAGAAACACTCACTAACTGGCCAACTAACTGGAAAATACCCATATCAGTGCCCCTTGAAAGAAAGGTAGCCCCACAGGATGCAGAATATATAGAAATGCATCATTACTGTTACATGACAATGAACTTTTGTGGACATGAATTAAAATGTGGCTGCAGTAGTACACCAACATGGAGCTTCTCGAAATTTAAGAAGAGGGCATGGGATGAGAGATATCACTGATGACTTCAAATTGATCTTGACTAAAAGCAGGGAATGTTAGACATATGCTTCCTTGTGCTGTCTTGCCTTTGCAAACACATTTGACTGTGTGAATCTTAACAAGCCATGGGTAACATTGTGAAGAACAGGACATTTTATTGTGTTCACCTGGAACCCAGCCATAGACCAAAAGGTACTTGTTAGGAGGGAACAAAGGAATCATTCATGGTTTAAAATCAGAAAGAGTGTGCAGCAAGATAGTTTATTTACATTGTAATTACTCATCTCAGCAAATAACTTGGAAAGCCGGACTTTTACGGAGAAGAAAGCAGCAGCGTTTGGGTTGAGGAAGGCAAATTGAGAATCTGCAGTGTGCACATGATCCAGCCTTGCTTGCTGAAAACAAGGACGCCTTGAAGCACTTGAAGAAATTAAAAGACAATAATTTTCCGTTTAGATCGGAACTAAATGTACAGTAAGCCTAAATCCTCATAATGGATCAATCAGCAACATCATGATAAATAGGGAAAAGATTGACATTGTCAAGGATTTCATTTTACTTTGATCCACAATGCTCACGGAAGTGGTCGACAAGAATCCAAGGACGCAGTCTATTGAGCAAATCTGCTGTACAAGATCTCTTCAAAGCTGTCATTTTGAGGACGAAGGTGCACTTGACCCAAGATGTGGGAGTTTCAATTCTTCCTATTCACGTGAAAGCTGGACAATGAATAAGCAAGGACCACTTAACAATTGGTGAATTTGAATTATGGTCTTGTGAAGAATATTGAACTGCCAGCTACATGAGAGGAAGTACAGCCAGAATGCTTCTTGGAAGTCAGTGTGGCAAGATTTTATCAGTTCCTGGAAAAGGACATCGTGCTGGACCAAGGAGAGGGCTCCGGGGAGAAGAGGAGAACTGCACAGAGATGAAGTGGCACAGTGAATGCAGCCACAGGCGATGTAGTCCTCCGCTGTCCGTAGGGTCACTGTTAGTCAGAACTGGCTCCGTAGTACCTAATAATATAGCAGCAATCCTTTCTTTATAGGACCTTTCTCTATGCGAGTGTCTTTAATAAATGCTTCTGATGATTAGTAAGATCTCGTTTCTTTCCTCTTGTCGAGGCCATGCTACTTCCTGATATGTGTATACCTTCTGCATTTTAATTGTTGAGATTGGTTTGTGTTCTAATTTGCATGTGAACTCATATATATTTGTGTCATGAAAGTTGAAAGTAGCTAAAGTTGACTTTAGCTACTTATTTAATGATTTTCTGTGCCCATACAGTCTAATGTTTTTAACTCATTGATGCCAATCATTGTTGAAGTGAAATTGGTTGGTTAAAAATCACAGGACTTGGCATATGGAGGGTGTGAAAGTAGTTGATTCTGTGCTGTCATTGCCATATGCTGAGTAAAGAATAAAAGGTAATTTGTTCAGGTCCCTGGTTGAATAGTATAAAGAGCAATTTAAGGCGCACTAAGCAGCTGTGGCAGATTTCTCAGGAAGCCCCTGTCTATATGATCAGTCAGGGCTTCATGGCAGTCAGGTATGACATACCCCTAATGTGATTTCAACTGGGACACACAATTGTTATTCCAGATCCATGCTTTTGTATTTTCTTTTTAAATGAATATGTTATCTCCCTAATTAATTGTTTAGTCAACAACTTAATGGCTAAACACTTTGCCTATATATGATTTGGAGAGTTCTGCTACTCTAGGGCTTTCCATGTAGCATTCAATTTGCTTATTTATACATGTTTACACATTGTTATATAAATATTTGTAAATAAGTACTCTGAGTTCCACTCAAAGAGAGAAACATTCTTGTAAGAAATTATAGAATAATATTATTAGAATATTTACTTGTCCGCTCTAAATTTGGGTTCCTGCAGTGAAAAAAATACCAGTGCTTTCCTTAATCAATTTATAGTCCTCTGAGGTGATTACAGAGAAAGAAGGGCATGAAAACATGGACAGTAAAGTACTCCGTCACAGGACACAGCACAGTATAAGCTTCAAGTACATTTTAGATGTTAATGTTCAGTAGTAAATTTGAATATATGCTTATTAAAATATATATATTGAAGTTTCCACAGTGCCACCGCATTTCTAAAATCATTTCTTCATTAAACTTTTATTTATACAGCAAACATTTACTGGATACTGAGGATATACTGCAAATTGAATGACATAGCATTTTCCCTCACAAAATGAAAGTTGATGCTTTCATAGTTAACAAAACATCAAAGATTGTTAAAGGCCAGCACAGCTACATGTGAAGTTAAATCGAGAGAGTACGGTCATCAAGTAGGAATGGAGGAGACACTGATAATTGTCTGGGAATGATGGGACTGTAGGGCCAGGAAGATATCCAGGTAGACATTTCCAGCAAGCAATGCAAATGCGACTTGGAAGTTCAGAAGAGATATTTTGGCTAGAGATGTAAAGCAAGGCAATATTGACAATCTCTATATTATGGTATGTAATTTGTACAAAGAGATATAATATGTCCAGAACTTTTGGGGATTGAGTGAAATCTATGTCTCTTAAAATATTGCTATTGTATTACATCTTGAGGAAGCTCAATTTTCCTCCCCAATAATTCAATTATCAATGTTAGTATTATACTATTATCAACAATGAAAGTGATATAACATAATTTGAAAATTAAGAATCAGAAGATATTTTCATACTACTTGAATCGCCAGCAGTCATTAGTCAATAGCATCAGGTCATCACCATCTCTTAGGGCCAAAATGATTCCCTTTTTTTGGAAACCAGCCAGGTTTGACACAGGCATCTATTTGACCTTCTCAGATTCCAAAAGCAAGCATGGTCTTCACGCTTTCAGACATCGAAAAGACTGAGCTAAGAGACAGTACCATCTTTCATTTGGTGGCTATGTTCAAAAGAAGACAAAATGCTAAATTAGATCAGGTTTATAAATGCTGTACTCCAGAATGCTCACTCTCTGACAATAGTTATTAGTTATATGGACCAAAGCCTTGCTACTCTCTTTCATATCAAGCTCAGAATTCAGTGATATATACACAAATTTCTAATTTCGCTTTGCTTCATCTTAATTTTTTTTCAAGGGAAAACACTTCTAGATATCAGCTAGTCATTATTAGGAATTCTAGTTTATTTATCACAAAGTATTTTGAAATGATGTTCAAGTAAATCAATACCAGAAAAGTTAGACAACGAACATTCAATTAAAATATTCTAAACTTTTAAAAAGTATATTATATGCTGAATACTTTTTTATCCTTCTCACTCAAACATTGCTTTAGGAAGACCAGAGACAACTTTGTGCTTTGGCAAATACCCTGGAAGATGGTGGCATGACGCCTCAACTTGCAGAGATCATAAAACGGCTGTGGGGAGATCCAGGAATCCAGGCCTGCTTTGAAAGGGCATCTGAATACCAGCTCAATGATTCAGCAGCATAGTAAGTAAATACATGTTCACCAGGGCTGTCGTTGGCACATTTGAAAACAAAAGTTATAATGCCACATATGCTGCATTGCTAACCATAAGTTCTTGTTCATATATTTTATTATACTACACAAATAAGGACACATCTAAGCACCAAAAAGAACAAAGGAACATAAATAAATACAAACAGAGAGCATTCTTAATATCTAATTTTGCAGCCATTTTCCTGAAAGGATATGTGTAATTATCTTCTCCAGATTTAAAAGAATCAATCATTCTGCATGATTGGTGATAGACACATAGACATAGATTGGTGATATATATAAATAAGGAGGCTTAGGGCTATTTATTTCATTTATACTCATCCTAAAGAAAGCTAATCTTAAAACGAAAACAAAAAAAATCCCCGTATTCACAACATATGCTTTGGCTCCATTGGCTTAATGGGAACAAACCAGAATTTAAAAAGAAAGTAATGTATTGCCCTATAATAAAATACTTACAGTATGGAATTATTTCTGAGTCTCAAGGACAATTGTATAACTCCAACAGCAAATATTGTCTGGGTAGCACTCACCAGTCACAGAAAAATTAGGGTGACACAAAATCTTTTCCCAAATTTATTTTTAAATTCCATTTTAAAAGTGATTTTAACCTATCCTATGGTTACATGCCTGCAAGTATATATATGCATATGTAAATCTAGTTGAATTATAAATTTTATATATTGATTCACACATATGAGTGTATAAAAATATATAAATAACAATCCCATGGAAAATCACCAACATATCTTAATCAACCTTTAATTTTCTTAAAAAGAATGATTATAAAAGTTAAGCAGATGAAAGATTAATGGAGAAAAAACAATGAAAAATTACATAATTCTGTGGATTTTTAATCTATGATGAACATAAATACCATAGAAGAAAAAGAATATAAATGTTGGGATCTTCAATGGTTAATCATTCATTTTTATTTTAAAGCCAAATTCCAAAAAGTGAGTAGCCTTTGGAGGAAAGTGCTGCTCGTGTCTCTGACAAGAGAGCGGACATCAGCGTGCGCTGCTAAACAGAAGGCCCTAGGGGAGAAAATCCAGTTGGAATTCATACCTCACTGTTAGGGGCTATCGAAAACACTCTCTGTTTCAAACATTAACACTGGGAAGCAGTTATTTTCATAAATGCCTCACTGTGTAACCACATTCTAATAACAAAAAGTTCTCTATTTGCTTAGTGAAGCACTGCTTTTGTTTTGATTTTTTGTTTCCCTGTAAAAACAATAGATATGTTCTTGCTGTTAGGTGCTGTTGAGGGCCTTTGTACCGCAGGGAAACACCGCCCCGTCCTGGACCCTCTCCTCAGCGGCTGCGGCATTGGAGCCCATTGCTGCAGCCGCTGTGTCGGGCATCTTGTGGAGGGCTCGCCTCTGTCTCACTGTCCCTCTAAGTTACAATCATGCACAGGCAGGTGCAATTATGAGAAGCCGAAATATGGGACATTATCAGAAGATACTGAGTGAAATTCTGGAAACGGAGGAAGAAAGGGCAAATAAACATGAACTGCAATTAATACACTTTACTTTGGATAGACATTTCTTTATAAATATGGAATTCCCCTAAAGATGAAGAGAACTGTATTAAAAATGATGGCCTCATTACGCTTGACAAATGATTTGTTTTATGGTAATAAAAAGTATTTAAATACCACATTGTAAAAATAAACAGATGAAATAACCCTTTACTTCCCAATCTCATGTTAAGTGGAATAGACTAAAATGGTACACAAAAGAATCATTAGATTAACTTTATTTGTTCTACTCGTAAAATATATTTTACACTGGGATCGCCTACTCTACTGTAAGCTTCTACTGAATATCTTTTCTTCAACGTAAACACAGCTGCACAATAGCACCCTTGTTATCTGTTAGCTTGTCACACCGTGGTGGCTTGCATGCTGGTATGAGGCTGGGAGCTCTCTCACTGGGAATTCAACATCAGCAAAGTCACTGCAGAAACAGCATGTGGCAGAGCTGCGGCAGAAGCAAGGACAGACTGGACAGAGGGAAGGAGCAGTGCATTTTGAGGAGTTAGTTATGCGTACCGGCAGGACATTGCCCGATAGCATTCCAGAGCTGAGCCTCTCAGGTTGAACAACACTGAAAATAAAACTGGAGAAGCGCTGTCGCCTATGGAGAGAGCTAAACTTTCAGGATCAAAATGATGCTGGGGAAGGATTCCAGATGAGATGAAACAACTAAATCACCCATGACTAATCAGAAGATAGGGTGTATGAACTATGGAACGGGGAATCAATACGGCAGGTATTCGTTGTGTGATAGATAAAGTCACTTTGCATCAGAGTAGACTAGATAGCAGCTAACAAAACCAAGAGCAATCACAAACAAGATTATCTTGTATCTACTTTTTGAGTTTGAAATTAACCAGACTGATTTTCAGGCTAGTGCGATAACAGGAAAGTGGTTTTCCTAGACGTTCGCGAGGAAACAGTGACTTGGATTGGACATTTTGAATGCGACAATCAAATGACTTCCTGTATAAGAAATAACAACGCCAAGAGGATTGGCACAGCATTCATCATCAAAAAGAACATTTCAAGATCGAAAAGTGCAGTGCTGTCTGTGACAGCATGATATGTACATGTCCACAAGAAAGACCACTCAATACAATCATTGTTCACGTTTAAACATCACTCACTAAAGTCAACGTCGATGAAATTGAAGAATTTACCAACAGCTAAAAGGACAAACCAACTGGTCTTGAAAGAAGTATGGTCAGAGGCCTCCTTGGAAGCAAAGATGGCAAGACCTCATCTTACATACTTTTGACATATTGTCACGAGAGACCATTCAGGAGAGCCATCATGTCTGTTAAGTAGAGGGGCAGAGTGGAGTAGACAACACCTAATGACAACAACAAACAGTACTTAATTGTGTCATTGTTTTGAACCACGCAGAGTGTTACAGTTTTAGATTAACAAGACTGACTGGCAGGGCCAGAGAGTAAACAACACAAAAGCCGTTTTCCTCACTGTTTCAGAAAGGATACAGATATAATCCAAGTGTTCACCGTTTTCTGTCCTCATCGGCTTTCGAAAGAAAAGCTTAATAAAAGTTCACTAATAGTTGAATAGACACTCCTTTCTTCAAAAATAAAGAGCAAATGTGTAGAAATATTTACTTTAAGATGTTAAAACTAAATATAAAATTAAATTAGAAAGATATCCCATGTAGGTTTCGTATGAGGGGACCTGGTCGTGCAGTGGTTGAGTTAAGCTAGTAGCTGAAAGCTTAGGGGTTCAAATATAATGAACTCTAGGAGAGAAAGATGTGGCTGTTCGTTTCTAGAAAGATTGCAGCCATGAACACCCCATGTATTACTCTCCTCTGGCTTCTCAGACCCTCTGACTCAGGCTAAAGATTTCTAACCCTTCTTCTTTCTTTTGCTGAAAATGGGATATTTATTATTTTTCTCAAATCTAAAATTGGCATTCAAGGTAAGACTAACAAACTGCGGGTCCTAATCAGAGGTTAGGAAGGGACTGCTATTGTTGGCACCACTCTGACCCGTCAGTAGATCAAGCTGAAGAGAAGCACTGTGGTCCTGGCAGCCAGCGTTTAGAAGATTTCATGGTTTGAGGGTTGGAGTCATCTAGTGCTCTCTTTCATTTCTATATGCTTTTTGAATTGTTCATGCTGTTGGGTAAGCAAGGGACTGCTAACTTCAAGGTTGGTTTAAAATCGCCAGACACTGCCAGAGAAAGATGAGCTTATCCACTCTCATACAGATTTCTAACCTTGAAACCTTGTCTAGTGTTGTTATGCATCAGAATCATCTCAATGGCAGTGCTTTAGGGTTTTAAGAAATAGTATAGACTTCCGTAAAAATAATACCATCTTCACATGAGCAGAAAAAAATCCAAATAATGTTTAATGATTTGTGCCATACTTGTTAAAAGGCTTTTCATTTTATCTAAGTTGTAGGCTGTAGGCTTGAACACTCAAATTCTATATTTGTTTAATAAATCAAGCATTTAAATGCAAATTTGTCACTCTGAAAATGCCCTCACTTTGCTTGAAATGATATATGCATGCAAATGAAAGTACACCAGTTTATGTTATTCTCAAAGAATTATTCATTGAGCTATCACTAAAATGAACTTAATCTCGATTTTGAGAGGCATATTATTTTTTCAAAGATTGTGTTTTTTAGCCCCTTCATGAATTACTGACCAAACTTTTACAGATCACATATTCAGATCCAATCAAGAGATTTGATAAAAGGAGATTAAGTTATACCAGAGAAAATAAAATATGAAAAATTTCCAATATTTTCCCCTAGTACATTATATACTGCTTTGTTTTATTATCTTGTTTAGATTTGTGGTTTGTTTTTTTTTAGAAAAATTCACCTTTTGTATAATAAAACAATTGTGATTTAGTTTTACACACTATTCACACATGTGTGTGTTTCTAGCGTGCAATCACTTGCTTTTCCCAGACCAAAATCCCTTTAAGGAACCTACCTGTTCTTAATTTGTTTCAGATGAATCATGTAAGCATATAAAACAAATCAGTGCTTTATATTGGTGTTCAATTATTTTCATGATTATAGTTTTGATGTTATGACACTGTGCTAGATACAAAGTCATAAGTAGCCCCATTAGCTGCTAGACAAGTTCAAATTTGAACAATATCAAATAAATAGCTGAATTCTAGCTCTCAGCTCTCAAATTCTGTCAAGCTGAAAGTATGACCATCTTGCTCTTTCTATTTAATTTATATACGTACACTTGTCTCAAGTCAATGGTCAAATTTGTCACAAAACTTTCCTTGTTATGACTATTGCCATTTACAATGTTCTTCAGTCCAGCCACAGAAGTTTCCTTTCCAATAAAAAGCTTGAAAAGTACTGGTCTTGACTTTAACATAATGGATCAAATGAAAAACAAACAAATAAAAAAATATCCCTCCCCATCCAAATACTTCTGACTCATCACAACCTAACACAGAGTTTCCAAGGCTGTAAATCTTCCCAGGAGGTCATAGCCTGATTGTTTTGCTCAAGAAGCAGCTGATGACTTTGAACCAGTTACCTTATGATTAGCAGTCCAACTTTGCTTACTCAGTAGTACAACCAGTGTTCTCTAGTAGTGATAATGAACCATCAAATAAAATTTCATTTGTTCTAGATCCTGATGTATTAAAATGCAAATTTAAAACATATATGCATTATTGTTCTTTGTTTCCTAATAGCTACCTTAATGATTTAGACAGAATAACAGCTCCCGGGTATGTTCCAAATGAGCAAGATGTTCTGCATTCAAGAGTGAAAACGACTGGAATCATTGAAACTCAATTCTCCTTTAAAGACTTGCACTTCAGGTATAATGAAATATCTTTTCTCTTAATTGATGTGTCCATCGAGCGTATGCTTGACAGGAACAGGGACCCTTTGGGCATGCTCACTAGGAGTAATTTACTTGCAGTACTATCCACTGACTGTTTTTGCCCTACACCATCCCCAAACTCCACCCCATCATGCCCTCTCCCACCTTCGTTGTTCTGAGTCTCAGGGCTGCCTGAAGTGATTCTTCTCTCCAATCAAAGTGGCTGGGTCTTGAGCAAATGGAATCTATTATTTAATTTCTCATACCTGAAACTGGCATCCTACTCTGGTTGTGTGTGTGTGTGTGTGTGTGTGTGTGCTTAATGAAGTTTAAGCAGCAGGTGCCAGAAGTTCTAGTTACTTTGCCTGTCTACCCTCCTGTTTGCATGAAATATTTTTATTAAATTTGTTTCTTTAATTCAAAAGTGCAAATCATTTCAAAGAGAATTATTTGAATATTATACCATTTACTGGAAGTAAAAGGCATATTTTCTAAGTTGTATGGGGTATGAAAATGAATCAATTATGTTCAATGCTGTAGCATACTCAAGCCCTAATAGAAATTCTATTTAAAAGTCATTCATTTACTGCACTAAGAAAAGAAAATCCATACTATAAGGCTAGAAAAAATGTTCTTTTGACAATTAAATGCCTCTCTTTATAGATTCTGAGAAAGATGGAATACCAAACACTAATGAGGAAGATGCACAATTTAGCGTTGTTAAAAATCAATATACATATTAATGAAATCACTCATGTATGCAATAGAAATGTTATTAACAACAGAAAAATGGAGAAAAATGGCAAAGCTTATTTGAAACAATTTGTGAGGGAAAAGTTACAGCATTGCTGTTAATTATTATTGGAAAATTTATTTCAGTAGAATAAAAATGTTTACATATGAAAAAGATATCACCTGAATATCTATTATGTATATAAACAAATATTTTCAAGTTAATGTAGAGGAGATATTTTCATATGAAAAAGATATCACCTGAATATCTATTACGTAGATAAACAAATATTTTCAAGTTAATGTAGAGGAGATATTCTCAAAGCATATATTTAAATTCCAGGCCCATAAATAGTTAACTTTCTAAAAGGTCAAGCCAGGTTTAAGATACTGCAAAGATTGAGATAACATGTTTTCTTGGTGATCCTGAAAGTAAGAAACGTTTCTCTTCAGTTCTGCCTTCAACATGATACTGTTCCTCTTTGGCAACTACTTTCTTAAGCCTCCTGATCTTTGATCCAGTCCCTGGAATGTTCCTTTGGGAGATCACATTCAATTTCTTCTTCCCTCTGCCCTTCTTCTGCCTGAGAAAGGCATTCCTGGCCAAGGTTCATTTCCCGTTTGTATGCTTTCTCCACTCCAAACTTTTCAGTGAAACATTGAAACACATCTCATGCTAAGCTAAGTGTGTGCCCTAAGACCAGTTAAACCAAGACTACGATCTCAGTTACCTGTCGTAGTGGGACGTGAGGACCAGAATTGCCTTTTCTCAACTTTCACGATAAATTTGTTGTAATGGTTAGAGGAGGTAAATACTAACAGAGTTATAACTTAATTTTATGATTCCTATAATATCTGCATAAAAAGCCAGGTTTGATCATTATTGTCATATATTAAAAACCTATGAATTCACCACCCTGGACATATCATACAGCACTAACTAGTTTACCATATTCTCAGGAATAATCTCTCTCATATATATTTTCTTATGTATATGTTCTTTGGACAGGAGGAAGATGAGGCTCTCTACTCCCATAAGCAGTGACAGTGTCAGAAACATAAAGGGGCATATACCTTGCCCTATTGGGTCACTATGAGTTGGCATAGTTTGTTTTTTATCAGTAAGCTCTGATAAGTGGATGACATAACCTTGCTTACTGAAAGTGAGGTGAACTTGAAGTACTTGCTGATGAATATCAAGGAATGCAGGCTTCAGTTTGGATTACAGTTCATTGTAAAGACCAAAATCCACACTATTGGACCAGAGGTACTGATAAAACAATAAAGAAAAACAAACTCATTGCTACCCAGTCAATATCAAAACATAGTGACGGTGTTAGGGTTCTGTATAGAAGCAAAACCAGGACACTTATAATAATACACACACGTATCCATATATATGGATATATACAGAACGAAGGAATATACTAATTAGTACACACAGCAGTACAGAGGGCTCAGTTCAACTCACTTCTGAGGAACAGGTAATATAATTGAAGTCCTTCAACTCACTAGGGCTGTTGGGTCCAAGGTCAAGGACGCAGATAGCTGAATCTTCCCTAGAGCAATACAGGTAAAGTTCACCCACAAGCAGCAAACAGCAGGTGGGTCACCAACAGTGAGCAGCTCAGGAGCTTAGGGAAGCAAGCCTGGATGGGAGATGGAACTAAAGCAATGCAAGATGACAGGATCCACCAGCCTCAAGCTGAAGTGATGTATACAACAGCAGCATGGCAAAGCAAATCTCAAAGAAACCTTAAGCTCTAGTGACATGATCCATGAGTTGAATGTCCCACAAGTAGTGCAGCTTCCAAATTGAGGGAGGCAGAGAGCTAGCTAAAGTAGCTGGACCCTGGTCTGGGTCGCCAGAGAGCAAGAGAGAGAGGGCCGGCCTTGCTGAGCCATTTATCTCTTTGCCCTCCAAGCAAACTACAACCTTATTAATCCCACATGTTCCTATTGTCCAGGTTGGCACAATACACCTACCTATCATGGTGACCCTATCAGAAAGGGTAGAACTGCCCTTGTGGATTTCCAATACTGTAACAATTTACAGTGGTAGAATAGAGAAAAGATTGAAGTTGTTAAGGATTTCATCTTGTTTGAAGTCATAATCAATATGCATGGAAGCATCAGCCAAGAGATCAAAGGATTCATTGCCTTGGGCAAATCTGCTGCACAAGACCCCTTTACAGTGATGAAAATCAAGGACGTTCCTCTGAGAACTAAGAAGCAAGTGATATAAGCCATGGTAATTTTGATCACCATGTAGTCGTGTGAAAATTGAACAATGAAGAAGGGAGACCAAAGAAGAATTGACGCATTTAAATTGTGGTGTTGGCAAGAATATTGAAAGAACCATGGATTGACAAAAGAACAAACAAACCATCTTGGGAAAAGTACAGCCAGAATGTTCCTGAGAGGCCAGGGTGCCAAGACATTGTCCCATATTTTGAACATGTTGTCAGGAGAGACCAGTCCCTGGAAAAGGACATCATGCTTGGCAAAGCAGAGAGGCAGCAAAAAATAAATTTACACAGTGACTACAGCAATTGGCTCAGACATAGAATTATTGTGCGGATGGTACAGGGTGGACAGTGTTCCTTCCGTTGTACATAGGATCACTATATGTTGGAACTAAATTGACGGCACCAAACAAAATCTTTGCAGGACTTGACAACCTCATCTTACTCCCTTGGGTTAGCAGTTCAATCTTATCCCACCATGCCACCAAGGCTCCTAACAGACTTGGGAAGAAATACACACAGTGCCCTGTGAAACTTCACATACCTAAGTTCTCAAACCAGGGACCCTGATCACTTCCAAAGATCACGCAGAACCTTAGGAAATCAAGTTTATTTCCTGGAACACCTGCTTCACTCATTTATCAGGTAATATAAGTATTCATAATGTTTAAATGTACTTATATTCTGAGTAAAACAGCATTTGCACAGATTTTTTAAATTACAAATATGACTTTAATGATGTTAGGTCTTCCTAACAGGCCTCCTAAGAATGAGTCTCCCTTTCTTCTTTGGTGTGTGTTTATCTTCTTCAGTCCCTTTGGAGTTCTGTGGTTGATTTTGTAAAGAATCGTCTTCAGCCATAGGAGCACCTGGAGAGCACAAACCACTTGGCCACTTCATTACTAACCCAAAGACAGCAGCTTGAATTCAGCCAATCAAAGCCAAACTCACTGTTATTGATTAGATTCTGACTCACAGTGACCCTATCGGACAGAGTAGGTTTAGTGGTTGATTTCCAAAATATCACAACCATGGAAATCCCTATAAAGGCCAGTTCTCCTCTGAAATGCAAGGGATCTCCAAGCCTTGGGACTGACGGAGAGTAGCTGATCTTAGTTGATACAGCCATGCGATCTCCTAGTCTACTTTTCCAATGCTGCCTCTAATGAAGGTTTAAGAATGGCCATACTAATTCTCTATCACAGTCGCCAACCTAAAAAGTAAGATGTTTGTGAATTGAATTGTATTGTCTAGTTAAGACTCCTTTAGATATACCATTTTCCGTAGTATATACCTACTACCTCTAAACCATCAAAACAGGCTTCAAAGCGTTTGTTTTCTTAAGAGGTTTGCTTTCTCTCTGACTCAAGAAGTGGTGTTATTAAAGTTGTCTTCTATGAAAAAGAGAACAACAGCTGCTTACTCAAGTGTAGGAAATGTAAACATGTAAACAATGGCAATCATCATAAAGACAATATTTCAGAAACTTTTTGGTGGAAAAGATAAAGAATACAATAATTCTGTTTTCCTAAGATACTTTTTAAACTACTAATAATCACTTTTTTTGAAGTTCAGTCACAGCATTCAGGTATATCAATCCTTTAATGATTGGCAACGATAAACACTTATTGTTTATTTATGTATGAAGTAACATTACCCATGAGCATACAAACTTCTGTAATGTAAATTTCTGAATATTTCAAATCAAAAGTATAAAAATAATATATATTTTCATTGTATTTCATTAAGTGTATAGGTAACAAAATGTTTTAATTAGCATTGTTTCAATTCATAGTCTAGAAATATCCTACAACATTGAAAATGAAAGGATTAATTCATATATTACAGTAGACAACTCTAGAATTTTAAGTAAGAACACCAAAATGAAAAATTCACTGCTAGTATACTGTATGTCTCATCTTTGGGTATCACTGAACTTCAACTGTCACACTAATAGATAAAATAAGTTATTTTTTAAATCATTTTATTAGGGGTTCATACAACTCTTATTGCAATA